TGCTTTGATTTATGCAAGTTTTATTTCACACAATCATTTATATTTAATTCACGTAGAAAACGAGACATTGTCTAGGCCATGAACGCAAAATGATGAAAATGCCTTCTTTAATATATCTTAAAATTGGTCAAAACTCTTACGAATACATTTTTACAGTAGCCTTTATACATACATGAAGACAAAAATATCATTTAGCATTAAAATGTAACTTTCAGCTACAACTTTGATTATTTTATAGGGAAGTAAAGAACATGCTCATTTACTGAACAGTTTCAAATAAACTCGAGTTTCTTACTATGCACTAAGAACAGTATTGTAATGTATTAAAATGGTGAATTAAACTATGCATCTGAACACAACTACTGTTTCAATTTGAAAAAGAACAAATCACAATTCCAAGATATCTGTTGGAAAGATATAAGTTATATTTTTGTAAGAGTGGATGGTGCATGCAGGAAATCATTGGCTACAACTTTACTTAGCAGCATATTTTTTTTATTTCCCGAGTATTTCATTATTTTTACTATATTAGTTAACAGAGAAAAGTAGGGGAATAGTAGGCGACATCCGTTTTTAGTTTGGACTACTCTATCATCTTGTGTCAGGTTTCAAATATTTAGATGCATGTATACATGTTACATACAGACCTTTTCGAAGTACTAGAAAATGTGTTTTCAATAGCATTTTTCTGTCAAAAAAAAACGGAAAAAAGGAATCTCTTAAGAACGCACAAAACCTGAACAGGCTTAACAAAACCGAGCATTTTGATTTTACTTTCTTTGATATTACACATATTATATAATTTCAATTATGTTTATGACTACACACCTGTCTTTTAGCAAGAGCGATTTTTTAAACATTAGATGACATAGTTATAAGTGTGAAATAAGTAAAAGAATAAGGAAAATATGTGGTCTGTCATTAGGTTTCCAGTGTTAACTACTTTCCTGGTCGGCCATATTGCGATAATAGCGTGCATTTTATGTGCTTTTTGATGTTTGGTGAACAGTTCTGCATGTATGTTTCGAAATATATTCATTTTCATACATCAGTTGTTCAAATTGCAGTAAAGGAAACCATCTGTACGAGAATTAGTATTATTTTTACCATGGGTTTACAAATTATATACAAATTAAAGGTTGAATGATAAAATAGTTTATTTTTGTCTGAATGAAATGGAAAAAAATATACACAGAATTTATTTGAGTTCGATTGAGTATTAAGCTATAAGTAGACACATTCTCTAATCCGTGTCAGGAACAAGCCCTGTACTGAGCAATAAGTGTAATGTTTTTTGCTAAAGGCAACAACTAACTGTTTTTTAACGGGGTCTGAACCCACGCGGCTAGCGTTCTTTTTTACAAGACCACAACTTAAAGTTGTCATTGTTACACCATCATGCTACCTTGATTTTTTATACAAATTATTGTAAATGATTATATAAACAAGGAAAATGCTGATGAAACCGTAGACATAAAAACGTAACAAATCGCTATAAACTCAAGCTCCCCAAATCCTCCAACGGATAAAAAATATCAATTAATCGTTTCAAAAAAATTAAAATCGGAAACGAAAATATGAACTTTAAAATGTAAAAAAAAAACAAGAATAAAGATTAACAAAGCAAAGGCAACGTTCACAGGACGCGGCCCCCGACACACTCAACTTTGGCATTGAAGCAGGACGTCTGCCATGTAATGGTATTTTGTAAGTAAGAATCATGCTGAAAATTTATCGAGCTATTCAACAGAAAGAAAGGACAAGCATACGTTTGCTGTATCAAACCTATTGTCTTTCACTTTGACCTTGACTGGTGCCTCTGACAAGTGAACTCAATAAGATTAACATTTGACTTTATCTTAACAAGGCAGTCTGAAGGACAGCTAAATACCCATCCGCCGTGAACACGAATGTGTTCTTTATTACCTTTTATCAATTATGACCTTGATGTTGTGTCATGCATATCATAAGCACATAATCTCTAGATGGTTGTTATTTGTGCCAAGTTATTTAAAATCTTTCATAAAGTCAGTGATGGAGAACATATAACCTTGACCTTGGGTGTAGCAACCTGGATGTTGAGCTCTGCAGATTTAGTCATGGTGGGATTCATTTGTGCCAAGTCATTTTAAAACCTTTGAATTGTTAATAAGTTATAGAGCGGGCATGAAAAATAGATGTTTTTACATTGGACCTTTGAGTGTGACCAAGACCTTTAGGGTTTTGACTTGATTATTGTGCTCTGTCAATGTTGTCATAGTGGTGATTATTCTGCCAAGATATTTTAAAAACATTGCAGCTGTTTATATGTTATGGACAGACACGAAATGTAGACTTTCTAACATTTGGCCTGTAGTGTGACCTTGACCTTGGGGGTAACAATTCAATTATTAAGCTCTGCACATCGTCTCACAATGGTGATCGCTTGTGCCAAGCTATTTAAAACAATTGCAGAGGTTTAAAAATTATGGAGGGGACATGTTAAGTAGACTTTTATACATTTGACCTTTAGGTGTGACCTTGGCCCTCGGGGTAGCAAACCAATTTTTGCACATGTTCTAATAATGGTGATAAATTATGCCAAGTTAACTTTTTAAAATTTCATCGGTTAGAAAGTTATGGAGCGGACAGGAAATGTAGACATTTTAACTTTTAACCTTTAAGTGTGACCTTGACCTTGGGGGTAGCAACCCCATTATTGCATGTCGTCTCATAATGGTGATCGATTGTGCCCAGTTATTTTTAAAAAAAAATCAGCGGTTAATAAGTTATGGAGCGGACACGAAATGTAGACTTTTTATTATGAAATGAAGACTTTTTAACGTTTGACCTTTACGTGTGACCTTGACCTTGGGGGTAGCAACCAATTTTTGCGCTAAGCGTTTTAAAAGTTATGAAGCAGACACGAAAAATGTTACGGACGTTATGAAATGAAGACTTTTTAACATTTGACCTTAAAGTGTGACATTGACCTTGTGGGTAGCAACCCCATTATAACACTCTGCACATCGTCTCATTATGGTGATCACTTGTGCCAAGTAATTTTAAAAACTTTTCACTTGTTTAAAAGTTATGGATAGGATACGAAATGTAGACTTTTTGTAATAAAATGAAGACTTTTTAACGTTTGATATTTAAGTGTGACCTTGACCTTGGGGTAGCAACCTAATTTTAGCGCTCTGTATGTACATCGTCTCATTATGGTGAACACTTGTTATTTCAAAAATATTTCAGTGGTTTAAAAGTTATGGAGCGGGCACGAAAGTGTTACGGAAGGACGGACAGACGGACTGGACTGACAGACGGAGGCCATACCTATAATCCCCTTTTCCGCTACGCGGAAGGGGATTAAAAATCTATTACGCGATTAAACAGCTTTATAAAAATGCCTTTTTTCTATATTCATCTTCCGTCCTTTACCAAACTCTTGCAGTTTGGCGCCTGAAATACCGATACTTGACATCGTTTCGATGAGATAATCATTTCAGTAAAGTAATACGAAAGTCCTACGATAAGTTCAAAAGATATGTTCGAAAACCCATAAATGTTTCCAATGAGACTAAATTAATTAAGAAACGACACTAAAATATAGTATGTTTTATTAACCAATCCGTATATAAATGAAAATACATGTACTATAAGGCACGTTACGCTTCAGAAACGAATATGTTTTTACTTCTTTAGAAAGGTCAATGTGAATTTTGTAACATTTATTTAATGATTTTCGATCGAGCATGTTAAATGCTTAATACACGCAGAAAGTAGCGCTAAATGTTTAATTATTGTCATAAAAGTAGCAAAATTTGGCTAAAGCAACATTTAGACTTCCATAAAGATTTCTTTATCACAGTAAATACATTAATTGCCAAAAAGGAACAGACAAAAAGACGGTCCAGGTAATTGGCACAAGTTATTTTTGGAAACTATAATAATACACATGATACATGAAAAGCTTCTGAGAAGTAAAATTTAAAAACAATTTCTGGTGCATAATATGCCAATAAGCAATATCAAAGTAAGGCAATGAAATGCATATTTAAAGAACAAATGATAATGCTTTTTTCTTCTCTCTTACCATGATGTAGACATCTTTACTTGTGTATAAGAAAAAACGATGTCAAATAAGCTCTTCTAAACAAGTATAAAACAGAATAAGACTAAATGAAATAAAAATGTAGCTTTTTTAACAATCTTCCAGAGTGTAATAAACTTATCCTGTTAATGAAAAGAAGATAAATTATAATTAAAATTAATATTAAACGCACTTGTTAGAAAAAATGCGTAAGACGGATGAGGACTATTTTATTATATTTTTTTCCTTTATTCTTTTTTTCTATTTTTTATCTTTTTATAAAAAAAAAACGAAGTCTACATGTATATCTAATTCTTTTTTTAAATTATAAGCAGGCATATGGTTTTAGCATTATCTAAAGTTATGATCCAAAGCATGCATGTTTATAAATTACAAAAACGTACAGCAATTACAAAAATGTGCTTTTCATTGACAGTTTCGTTCTGCTTTACTGTTAAGTATAAAAAATATCTGACAATTTTCAACATCGGATGACGTTGATTTTTATGAGTAGGTTTCGGGAGGCAAAACAAAGACTATGCTATCATTCTTTCACTGAGGTCAATCTGACAATGATTAGCTGATTTATGAGACGATGAGATTTTTTTGACAATTTTTGTAATAACCACCACTATATTTGTATTGTTCCAAATGTTATAACATTTACGACAGTTTAAGACAAGTTAAAAAGCCAGAAACAAGTGGAATAGTGTCTTACATCTTATCACATATTCCGTTTCAACTGCTTACAACGTATTATAACGATTTTAGTCTAAATAATCCTGAGCATGCATCAGTTGATTTTGATCAACAATTCGCAAGCTGACTATTTGCATAAACAAACTCCTTATGTACCTTTTCAATATCAGGGACTTTGTGTTAAGGAAATGTATTGATATGGAATATTTAAATGTCCACATTAGAAGCTGACCAAGCCTGGTCAGAAAGTGTTAGGAATGAAACTGAAATCAAGCCCTCTCCAAACTTTGGTAAACGATGTCAGGATTGATACCATGCATATCCATCGCCTTTACAAGTGTTTCAAAGGTTGCATTGTCTTCAATTTCATCTCTCCATATAAAAAACATTCTCTCTATTCGTAGTAAAGTAGTTGGGCAGTCTAATGTCAAGTGATCCAACTGGACACGTGTTAGTCCCAACTCATAGGCGAGTACACGATACTCTTGTCCTATTTTCCCCGATAATCTTGCTATCTCTTTATCTGTTGGTTGTCGCAGAAGGACATCAAGCGGAAGGTTTGCTGGAGATTTAAAAAAAGAAAAAGTTGTAATATTAAAAATGTAATGGTTGAAATGTCATATTTGTTCATAGCATCATTCTCAGCTACACTGTATATGGTATGCGCTAATTGCATTAAATTCATGTATGCATAAATGTGACTAATATTATGTTGCATGTATATTTACAAGTAAATAAGTACATTTGATATATTTCGCTTATAAAACATATATTACTTAAATACGTTTCGTTATACATATCACATTTGAATAACCGTAATCCCTTCAAGAAGATAACATGCAAAACCTTGTTGTTGTTGTTGTTGTTTTTTTGTGTTTTTTTTGTTTTTTTTTCTTTGTTGTTTTTTTTTAAATGAAAACGTAAACACATATTTGTAAATATGATGCGGTTTGAACTGCAGTATATTGAATCAAAAACAATGAATTAAAGAAATTTATTCTATTGAAAGGCAACATACTTGTATTTATTCTTTTGCTGAGTGAACATAAAAATGAAATCAGATAAAACACTGTTGAAAATTTATTCCTCGGAAGTTGTCGTAAGAAAATTAACTGAATAATAGAATTATCTTACCAGGCCAAATCTCGTCAAGAAGTTCCTCGTCACTAAATCGAGAATATTTTCTTCTTTTTGTCAACAGTATTCCATTTCCATTGTAAAAATGAGCCCCATCATTTCCAATCAGATATACAGTAATGCAACTGATCTTCAATCTATTATGATATGAGTCTAAGAATCTGATCAAACATATCTGATACTTAACATGTACAAAGGAAATATAATGTTTATTTAGTTTTTGTTTTTTCAAACATTTATCATTGATTCATATAACAGATAAATTAAGCTTTACAAATGATATTATGAAATGAAGATGTATGCAATGTGATCCCCGTTATTGTAATTTATAAATGCACCCATCGCCCACAATGAAATCTATTTTAATGTCTCAGGTGAGATTAACAAAAAAAAAAAAAAAAAAAAAATATATATATATATATATATATATATATATATATATATATATATATATATATACATAACATAAAATTACAAGTAAGTAAATAAAAATAAACTCAAATAAGAACATAAATTATAAAACACTTTAAGATTTACGAGATACTTAAAAAGAAAAAGATTCTCGAACTAATTTTCTTATCACATTTCCTTCATGTTTCTTCATAATTAATATTGCTAAAAAAAACAAGATAGATAATACCGATGTCTAGTTTGATAGTCGTATAAAACGAAACGATGGTAACGGAAGTGTACATATCGGAAAGTTTTTAGGAATAATGTTGACAAACAATATCCACGTTGTATTCTTTTCGTAATTTGGTAAAACAAAATAAAAAAGAAACAAGCTTGATATTCATTAATGTGAAATTTGGTAAATTATTTGCAATTTATCGAGATTTATAAAAGATGATGATAAAGCTTTCTTTTTAATTCTTTGTAAAACAATACAAACTGTACAAAGCATAAAAACATGGTAAAATATATATGTACATGTATGTAACGTTTTACCTGTCTGGTGTTGCAAGGAATTTGCACTTGTCATTGTTGCCGAGCAAGATAGCTAACAATAACATATATATCAATCTGTGTCTGAAAAATATCCCTGTAATAAAAGATTGGATTGATTAAACTGCTGCAATTGACAAATTGAGCGAAATATGATAACACATGGATCATTGCCTCTAATGAATCGTGTCAGTGTAACGTTACAATTTAATATATAGAACTATATAGAACTATTAAGAACAAATGGCGTGCAATTGTAACCAGCAAATGCTTGAATTGTTATTTCCCGCCGTAAGATACATGTCACTTGACTGCAGCCTCTTAGTAATCTGAGGTTCATAATAGGAGTGAAACGAAGAACATTAAAATAAAATTTTAAAATGGTGTAATGTCAGATGGTCATTTCTTTAAAGTGTGTAGTTAAGAAATACAATTGTAAGATTCAAGTGCGACAATGCATGCACATTTATCTTAGAATTCTATTGAATCAAATTCCACCAAGCATGAACATAATTGAGAAGATAGAAATGTTTTCACGTGTGCCAACAAAGGTTGGATGCTTTAAAGATAGGCAACTTTGTTGTGTTCTTTAGGACTGGCTCTGACTTACAAACTATGTTTCTTTTAGATTAGTATGCCATTTAATATTCACTATATCAGTTTTAAAAGACCCTCATCAATGTACTTTCATGGCTTTCTTGATTACATACTAACAAAGCGGTTCAATATCCTTTTCTGGATACATATTTTTCTGTTGAGTTCAACATGCTCATCGTGAGCCATTGTGACCAGGCAGTGCCCATCGTCCGTCATGCAATTGTCGTTAACTTTTGTTTCAAACAACATCTCCTGATAAACTATTGGGCAAATTTTGTTAAAACTTAGAAGGATTTTTCCTTGCATAAAGCTTCTTCAAAATTATACAAAGAACTCCATCCCATGCCACACTGTAGGAGCCATGTTAACCGATAGAACAAATCTTTAAAAAAAAAATTCTTCTAAACTGGAAGGGACAGGACTTAGATATTTGACATGTAAAATTGTCTGTGGGTCTCTACCATGTTTATTCAAATTAAAACTCTAGGGTAAAATTTCTCTGAAACCACTTAGGCCGGAGCTTAGATATTTGGCATGAAACATTTTAATAACCCAGTGGTAATAGGTTTTACTTATATGTAAGTAGTAAAATCTTTAAAAATGTTCTCCTCCAAAACCGCCACGCGAGAACGTTGAACGTATTCAAAATTACATTTTGGGTCTCTATAAAGTTGATTTAAGTTGAAGCCCTAGGGTAAAATTGGCCTAACCTCGGTGTTATGGGTTTCTCTTGTATGTATATAGTTAGACTTAAACATTTATTAAGATCATAGTCTTGTAACGACATGCTCGATCTTAAATTTGCTGTTTCCTTTGCAACAAAAGGACATCTCAAAATTGCTAAAAATCACAATTTTGCGTTGATTTTTTTCTATAGAAACTGATTTCAAAGTGCAACTTCTCAATGGATTAAGATAGAGTCAAAGGTTTTTCAGCGTTGGTTACACGTTACTTTAATATCGACCTGAGGCCAATTTAAATCTCTTACAAGTTAAGAAATTTTTTGGGGGCGATAAGGGGAAGTATTGCCGCTCCCATCCAACCTTCTTAGCAGAAGGGGACATATTCTCTCTCTGGCACCCACTGATGTATTTATTTGATAGGGGACAAGTGACAAGATTTCTGAAACAAAAACAAGTGTTTTAGGGTCTAAAACTGGCATTCTTTTACTATATGAGGCGGTAAAAAGGCCTTAAAAGACATCTATATGAAGTAATAGGATAAAGATACAGGTATGAAATTTACACCTAAGTTTATTTTTGAGCTACAGCTATAAAATTTGGTCGATATTGTAAAATAAAACTTTGAGCTATATTTGACCACTTGATCTACCTTTTGGTATTGAGAGCTACAGCATTGAAATCAGTTTCAGATATGAACTTTGATATCAGTTTACTTGGATTTTTACCCTATTGTCTTCTTATTTGTACGTAGGCTATGAAATTTGGTCTATTCCAACAGTTTCAAATGCGTTTTATGTATTTAATAGACTTGAACCTTTGGGAAAACTTTAATGAGACCACCCAAGAATCATTCCTCTATAGCTTCATCACTTTTGGTCAAAGGATCTTAGAGGAAGCTTTTTTTACGACGGATTCCGAACACAGGATGATCAAAATCAAAATTTAAAAAATGTAACTAATGAGTTACGTCTTTTAAGAGAGTATTATGTACTGCTATTCACTGGGAAGGCCGCGAGTTCTTATTTAAAGTTTTTTGAAAAAACGAATCAAATGATAGCCGATAAAACTGTGACGAAATTATGATAGAAAAACAAAGAAATCTTAATTCTTAAAAGGGTGTTATTTGTATTTTATATATTTAAATTTCAATGATAACTGTTGTAACTATAAAACATTGAAAAACGTAGATATATTATAGTGTACATATCATGCCATAACTTCTCTGCGTGTACTGCGTGTAATAAATAATCTTGTTAAACGTCAACTTGACAATGTTTTTATGCAAAATATCTAAGCTCTTGCGCTAAGCATTTTGACCAATTTCTGTACTGTAACACTGTACACTTATCTATATTCTATAAAAATAAATATTCATCGTATCTGTTAAACTATTCCTTGCTGTGTTTTAAACATGATTGCAAAGCAAGTCATTTAAATTTCTTGTTGCTTTTTGTTGTAATTGATGTTGTCGTCATAGAAGCGTTTTTTTCTCTTTTTGCTGGTGGTTAGAATCGATAATTACAATTTTGCAAACGTTTTCTCTTGAAATGTCACTTTTATCATGCACGACTTAAACTGCTGGAGAAAACATTAAAACAGATGAAATAAACTTACGAACAGATAGCAGTTCCTGTGAAATAGAAAAAAATCATTGTATATGACTTTTTTAATATGACAATATAAAAAGCTTCCGATGTTGGTATTTGTGACGATGTATTATAGGTCTGACAATGTTAAAATATAACTTCAAATGCATGTTATCTGTATAATGAGTATATATCCCGTGCAGCACTAATTTACAACTTTGTAGTATAAGCATCCTCTCATTTTACGGCAACAACAAGTTAATTGATTTCAAGTCATTCTATATGTAAGAATCATCGCTTGTTTGTCTATTGTTGTTGTTTATTTTCTTTAGCATTTTCGATCTATTTAGTATGAAGTGTGAAAGTTCCATAAGACGAGGAGGGTCCAGAATCGCGGAGACGCGGTGTAGAAACGTGGCGATACGGTGTGTCAAGTTTGTATACGAGGGTGGCTTAATATGTATTGCATTTTTTATGATCAATAAATTTAAGAAAAGAGCAAATATTTTATAATTTTCTATTCAAATGGCCAACTTAAGTTTATTCTACTGTTGCAGCGATGACCTTCAAGATTTTTTTAGACTAGAAAAGAGGTCAAGAGGGCCATGGTGGCCCATATATCGCTCACCTGAGTATAAATACTCTTAACGACAAGGTACAAAACTGTAAACGAAAACAGATGTATAAATGTCAATATTTGATATAGCATGTCACTGGATCCTACAAACAGTAATTAAGTGCTAAAGTAATTCATGGTTGATATGGAAAGACAATGGTTGCTATGTGAGTCACTGGTTGCTGTGGAAAGTCATTGGTTGCTATGGCTAATTAAGGCCGCTTAATATTTATATAAGTACTTTGGTTAATATAAAAATCATAGCATTATGACATTTGGATACAATTGGAATTGCTATTCCGACAAATATGTGCAGAATTAGAAAATAATATCAATAAAACTGTGCCAGGTTTCAGTACAGTTAATCAGTACAGCTGAGCTTTGAATAACATATTTTGGATTTGTATAGATCAACAACAGCACCGCTAAGGCGGGGGGTTATACGCCAAATTCTAACACGACCGGCATTTTCCCCCATTGAACATAGAAGAAGCGAAAGTGTGTATTATTATGCTATAAAATCACAGTTTGACGTTCTATTTTTTGACATGTGACGTAATCATTATACACGTGACGTAACCACTAAAAATGCGACGCGCAGAAAATAAGTACGGAAACAATTCAGGCTCAATTTAGCTGTGTATCAGATACGGTAGCATTTATTTGTTGATATCGTGTTAGAATCGAAATAATATATCCAAATCGGTGATTTTATTGCTTGATAACATCACTGTTTGTCGTTCGAATGCGCATCATTATATCACTCGGACTACGACTTCTGAGATAATTCCTCGCATCCGAACGCCAAACAGTGATGTTATTGAAGGGTTTAAATCACTGTTTGGGATATATTATTTCTTACATAAAAACTTGTTGAAGTTATCAAAATTAATCGTTCAATCAGGAAAGATACCCGTGCACGAAATCTGACATATTTTTTTTTTGTAGTTGTTGTTTTTTGTTTGTCTGTTCGTTTGTTTATTTGTTTTGAGTTTTGTGTGTATGATTGTTTTTTTTTTAATTAATACATAAAATTTGAATTAAATATCTATAAGCAAATACAAAATGTATATATATTAGACAAATAAATTAATCTCTTTTCCATATTATTTATTTAATAAAAATAAATAGAAACTAGAAGGGTTTTTGTCACAAAAACATATGTCTCCCAAAACTATGGATGGTCACTCATGTGAAGTTTCATTGAAATCCCACCACTAGCTTGACCTGTGAATACCAGAAAAGATTGTTCTATTTATAGCTCTGACGGCCATTTTGTGCAGCAAAGCAGAACATTCAGGTGACATGCACAACTACGGATTGTACTGATCACTCCTGTAAAGTTTGGTTGAAATCCCACCAGTAGTTCGACCTGTGAAAGCCAGACAAGATTGTTCTATTTATAGCTATGATGGCCATTTTGTGCAGCAAAGCAGGAGACATGCACAACTAGGAATGGTACTGATCACTCCTGTAAAGTTTGGGTGAAATCCTACCAGTACTTTGACCTGTGAAGGGCAGACAAGATTTTTCTATTTTTAGCTATGGCGGCCATTTTGTGCAGCGAAGCGGAACGTGCTAGTAAAGT